GTTGGTCTTAGTGGTCGTAGTGGTATTGGTGGTGATGGTGGTAGTGGTGGTAGTGTTGGTGGTATTGGGGTTGGTGGTGATGTTGGTGGTGTTAGTGGTAGTGTTGGTGGTAGTGTTGGTGGTAGTAGTGGTGGTAGTAGTGGTAGTAGTGGTGGTAGTAGTGGTAGTAGTGGTGGTAGTAGTGGTGGTAGTATTGGTGGTAGTGTTGGTGGTGATGTTGGTGGTGTTGGTGGTAGTGTAGGTGGTAGTAGTGGTGGTAGTAGTGGTGGTGTTGGTGGTAGTAGTGGTGGTAGTGATGTTGGTGGTGGTGGTGGTAGTAGTGGTGGTGTTCTTGGTGATAGTGGTGGTAGTGTTGGTGGTAGGAGTGGTGGTAGTTGTGGTGGAAGTGTTGGTGGTAGTGGTGTTGGTGGTGTTGGTGGTAGTGGTGTTGGTGGTAGTGGTGTTGGTGGTGATGGTGGTAGAAGTGGTGGTAGTGTTGGTGGTAGTAGTGGTGGTAGTAGTGGTAGTAGTAGTGGTGGTAGTGGTGTTGGTGGTGTTGGTGGTGATGGTGGTAGTGGTGTTGGTGGTAGTGGTGTTGGTGGTGTTGGTGGTAGTGGTGGTGGTAGTAGTAGTGGTGTTGGTGGTGATGGTGGTAGTGTTGGTGGAAGTAGTGGTGGTGGTGTTGGTGGTAGTAGTGGTGGTAGTGTTGGTGGTAGTGGTGTTGGTGGTGTTGGTGGTCGTGGTGTTGGTGGTAGTGGTGTTGGTGGCGATGGTGGCGATGGTGGTAGTGTTGGTGGTGGTAGTGGTGGTAGTAGTGGTGGTGGTAGTGGTGTTGGTGGTGTTGGTGGTAGTAGTGGTGGTAGTGGTGTTGGTGGTGATGGTGGTAGTAGTGGTGGTAGTGGTGGTGATAGTGGTGGTAGTGCTGGTGGTAGGAGTGGTGGTAGTTGTGGTGGAAGTGTTGGTGGTAGTGGTGTTGGTGGTGTTGGTGGTAGTGGTGTTGGTGGTAGTGGTGTTGGTGGTGATGGTGGTAGAAGTGGTGGTAGTGTTGGTGGTAGTAGTGGTGGTAGTAGTGGTAGTAGTAGTGGTGGTAGTGGTGTTGGTGGTGTTGGTGGTGATGGTGGTAGTGGTGTTGGTGGTAGTGGTGTTGGTGGTAGTGGTGTTGGTGGTAGTGGTGGTGGTAGTAGTAGTGGTGTTGGTGGTGATGGTGGTAGTGTTGGTGGAAGTAGTGGTGGTGGTGTTGGTGGTAGTAGTGGTGGTAGTGTTGGTGGTAGTGGTGTTGGTGGTGTTGGTGGTCGTGGTGTTGGTGGTAGTGGTGTTGGTGGCGATGGTGGCGATGGTGGTAGTGTTGGTGGTGGTAGTGGTGGTAGTAGCGGTGGTGGTAGTGGTGTTGGTGGTGTTGGTGGTAGTAGTGGTGGTAGTGGTGTTGGTGGTGATGGTGGTAGTAGTGGTGGTAGTGGTGTTGGTAGTGATGGTGGTAGTAGTGGTGGTAGTGGTGTTGGTGGTGTTGGTGGTAGTGGTGGTGGTAGTAGTAGTGGTGTTGGTGGCGATGGGGTTGGTGGTAGTAGTGGTGGTAGTGGTGGTGTGGGTGGTAGTAGTGGTGGTAGTGTTGGTGGTAGTGGTGTTGGTGTTGGTGGTGGTGATGGTGGTAGTGTTGGTGGTAGTGTTGGTGTTAGTAGTGGTGGTAGTGGTAGTAGTGTTGGTGGTAGTAGTAGTGGTGGTGGTGGTGGTAGTAGTGGTGGTAGTAGTGGTGGTAGTAGTGGTGGTGGTGATGGTGGTGGTGTTGGTGGTAGTAGTGGTGGTGGTGTTGGTGGTGATGTTGGTGGTAGTGTTGGTGTTAGTAGTGGTGTTGGTGGTGTTGGTGGTGATGTTGGTGGTGATGTTGGTGGTAGTAGTAGTGGTAGTAGTGGTGGTAATAGTGGTGGTGTTGGTGGTAGTGGTGTTGGTATTAGTGGTGGTAGTAGTGGTGGTGTTGGTGGTAGTGTTGGTGTTAGTAGTGGTGGTAGTGGTGTTGGTGATGTTGGTGGTGATGTTGGTGGTAGTAGTAGTGGTAGTAGTGGTGCTAGTAGTGGTGGTGTTGGTATTAGTGGTGGTAGTAGTGGTGGTGTTGGTGGTGCAAGTGTTGGTAGTAGTGTTGGCAGTGTTGGTGTTAGTAGTGGTGGTGGTGTTGGTGGTGATGTTGGTGGTAGTAGTAGTGGTAGTATTGGTGGGAGTAGTGGTGGTAGTAGTGGTGGTGTTGGTGGTAGTAGTGGTATTAGTAGTGGTAGTAGTAGTGGTGGTGATGGTGGTAGTGTTGGTGTTAGTTTTGGTGTTAGTAGTATTGGTGGTGTTGGTGGCGATGTTGGTGTTAGTAGTGGTGGTAGTGGTGGTGGTAGTAGTGGTGTTGGTGGTGATGGTGGTAGTGTTGGTGGTAGTAGTGGTAGTAGTGTTGGTGGTAGTAGTGGTGGTAGTGGTGATGGTGGTAGTGGTGTTGATGGTCGTGTTGGTGGCGATGTTGGTGTTAGTAGTGGTGTTAGTAGTGGTAGTAGTAGTGGTGGTAGTGGTGATGGTGTTAGTAGTGTTGGTGGTGGTGGCGGTGATGTTGGTGGCGATGTTGGTGGTGGTAGTAGTGGTGGTGATGTTGGTGGTGTTGGTGGTGGTGTTGATGGTGTTGGTGGTGGTGTTGGTGGTGGTGTTGGTGGTGGTGGTGTTGGTTGGAGTGTTGGTCGTGGTAGTGTTGGTGGTGGTGTTGGTAGTGTTGGTGGTAGTGTTGGTGGTGGTGGTGTTGGTGGTATTGGTGTTGGTGGTGATGGTGGTAGTGTTGGTCGTAGTAGTGGTGGTAGTAGTCGTGGTAGTGTTGGTGGTAGTGGTGTTGGTGGTGGTGTTGGTGGTGTTGGTGGTAGTGGTGGTGGTAGTAGTAGTGGTGTTGGTGGTGATGGTGGTAGTGTTGGTGGTAGTAGTGGTGGTGGTAGTGGTGGTGGTAGTAGTGGTGTTGGTGGTGATGGTGGTAGTGTTGGTGGTAGTAGTGGTAGTAGTGTTGGTGGTAGTAGTGGTGGTAGTGGTGATGGTGGTAGTGGTGTTGATGGTCGTGTTGGTGGCGATGTTGGTGTTAGTAGTGGTGTTAGTAGTGGTAGTAGTAGTGGTGGTAGTGGTGATGGTGTTAGTAGTGTTGGTGGTGGTGGCGGTGATGTTGGTGGCGATGTTGGTGGTGGTAGTAGTGGTGGTGATGTTGGTGGTTGTGTTGGTGGCGATGTTGGTGTTAGTAGTGGTGTTAGTAGTGGTAGTAGTAGTGGTGTTGGTGGTGATGGTGGTAGTGTCGGTGGTAGTGTTGGTGTTAGTAGTAGTGGTGGTAGTGTTGGTGGCGATGTTGGTGGCAGTTGTAGTGGTGGTGATGTTGGTGGTGGTGTTGGTGGCGATGTTGGTGTTAGTAGTGGTGGTAGTAGTGTTGGTGGTGTTGGTGTTAGCAGTGGTGTTAGAAGTATTGGTGGTGTTGGTGGCGATGTTGGTGTTAGTAGTGGTGGTAGTGATGGTGGTAGTAGTGGTGTTGGTGGTGATGGTGGTAGTGTTGGTGTTAGTAGTAGTGTTGGTGATGTTGGTGGCGATGTTGGTGGCGATGTTGGTGGCGATGTTGGTGGTGTTAGTAGTGGTGTTGGTGGTGTTGGTGGCGATGTTGTTGGCGATGTTGTTGGCGATGTTGGTGGTGTTAGTAGTGGTATTGGTGGTGTTGGTGGTGGTGTTGGTGGTGATGTTGTTGGCGATGTTGGTGGTGTTAGTAGTGGTGTTAGTAGTGTTGGTGGCGATGTTGTTGGCGATGTTGTTGGCGATGTTGGTGGTGTTAGTAGTGGTGTTAGTAGTGTTGGTGGTGGTGTTGGTGGTGATGTTGTTGGCGATGTTGGTGGTGTTAGTAGTGTTGTTGGCGATGTTGGTGGTGTTAGTAGTGGTGTTAGTAGTGTTGGTGGCGATGTTGTTGGCGATGTTGTTGGCGATGTTGGTGGTGTTAGTAGTGGTGTTAGTAGTGTTGGTGGTGGTGTTGGTGGTGATGTTGTTGGCGATGTTGGTGGTGTTAGTAGTGTTGTTGGCGATGTTGGTGGTGTTAGTAGTGGTGTTAGTAGTGTTGGTGGCGATGTTGTTGGCGATGTTGTTGGCGATGTTGGTGGTGTTAGTAGTGGTGTTAGTAGTGTTGGTGGTGGTGTTGGTGGTGATGTTGTTGGCGATGTTGGTGGTGTTAGTAGTGTTGTTGGCGATGTTGGTGGTGTTAGTAGTGGTGTTAGTAGTGTTGGTGGCGATGTTGTTGGCGATGTTGGTGGTGTTAGTAGTGGTGTTGGTGGTGTTGGTGGCGATGTTGTTGGCGATGTTGGTGGTGTTAGTAGTGGTGTTGGTGGTGGTGTTGGTGGTGATGTTGTTGGCGATGTTGGTGGTGTTAGTAGTGATGTTAGTAGTGTTGGTGGCGATGTTGTTGGCGATGTTGGTGGTGTTAGTAGTGGTGTTGGTGGTGTTGGTGGCGATGTTGTTGGCGATGTTGGTGGTGTTAGTAGTGGTGTTGGTGGTGTTGGTGGCGATGTTGTTGGCGATGTTGGTGGTGGTGGTAGTGTTGTTGGCGATGTTGTTGGCGATGTTGTTGGCGATGTTGGTGGTGTTAGTAGTGGTGTTGGTGGTGTTGGTGGCGATGTTGTTGGCGATGTTGGTGGTGTTAGTAGTGTTGGTGGTGATGTTGGTGGCGATGTTGTTGGCGATGGTGGTAGTGGTGTTGGTGGTAGTGTTGGTGGTGTTGGTGGCGATGTTGGTGGCGATGTTGGTGGTGGTAGTAGTGTTGGTGTTAGTAGTGGTGTTAGTAGTGGTGGTGATCTTGGTGGCGATGTTGTTGGCGATGTTGGTGGTGTTAGTAGTGGTGTTAGTAGTGGTGTTAGTAGTGCTGGTGGTGTCGGTGGCGATGTTGGTGGTGTTAGTAGTGGTGTTGGTGGTGTTGGTGGTGGTGTTGTTGGCGATGTTGGTGGTGATGTTGGTGGTGTTAGTGGTGTTGGCGATGTTGTTGTCGATGTGGTCACCATGAATCCGCGAGTGGAGCGGTAGAAGGGGTCGATGAGGAGCGACGCCAGCGAGGAGACCTGTGCTGTGCGGTCCCAGCCGTCCGAACAGTGGACGAGCACGCTGGCACGCTCGCTCACCACGGCCTGCAGAGTCCACCATCACCACCACCACCATCACAACCATCACCACCATCACCACCACCACCATCACAACCATCACCACCATCACCATCATCATCATCACCATCACCATCACTACCATCACCACCACCATCACCATCACCACCATCACAACCATCATCACCACCACCACCACCACCATCACCACCACCATCACCATCACCACCATCACCATCATCACCACCACCATCACCACCATCACAACCATCATCACCACCACCACCACCATCACCACCATCACTACCATCACCACCATCACCATCACCACCATCACCATCACCACCATCACCATCACCACCATCACCACCACCACCATCATCACCACCACCATCACCACCATCACCACCATCACCACCACCACCACTACCATCATCACCACCATCAAAACCACCACTACCACCACCACCACCACCACATCACACACACATAGAAACACCCACACACGCACAGTGACACACACACACAGTGACACACACACACAGACACACACAGTAACACACACACAAAGTGACACACACACGCACATTGACACGCACAGTGACACAAACAGTGACACACACAGTGACACAAACACACACGCTGACACACACATTGACACACACAGTGACACACACACGCACAGTGACACGAACAGTGACACACAAACAGTGACACACACACAGTGACACACACACACACATTGACACACACAGTGACACACACACACATTGACACACACACAGTGACACACACACAGTGACACACACACATTGACACACACAGTGACACACACAGTGACACACACATTGACACACACAGTGACACACACACACAGTGACACGCACAGTGACACACACAGTGACACACAACAACAACAACCGCCATTCGCCACTAAGTGGCGGTGACGTCACCACGACGCTTGTGCCAGGCCATGTGCACCCTGAGGCCACGTGAAGTGTCGAACGCCCGCTGGCAGGAGGTCACGGGGCAGACCCAGCAGGTGCCACGGGTCGAATGACTGAGATGACTGGCTGATGCACCACCTGTGCCCCCTACTGTGCCAACCTGCTGTGCTTTAGCCACCTGGCGCTCCGCTCGTTGTTGTGAGCATCGCTCCTCCGCCCTCCGTTGTTGTTGGAGGGCGACTGCCTAAAACTGCCCAGTAGCGTCCTTTACGAGCCTCCTCCACAGAGGCAGATCTTGACACCGCTGGTACCAGTCATCAGCAAGTCCACTCAGCTCCACGTCCTCCTGTACCACATCACTCCATCTCTTCTCTAGCCCATGCCGCGCCCACCTAGCCCCCTCAATCCGGCCGAACAAAAGCTGTTTCGGCATGTGGTGGCTGGGCATGCGGGCTACATGACCCAGCCAACACAGCCTTGCCCGCCGGAGGAGCTCACCGATGGGACCTTGCCCAGATCTTTCAAGGATTTGTGAGCTCCTCACACAATCCAGTCTGGTTAAACCCAGGATGAATCGTAGGCAGGCAAGCCTAAATGTTTCTAACCGGCGAAGATGTTCCATTAGGGGGGTCCACGTTTCGCAAGCGTAGAGAAGGGAGGGAATGACCGTGGCCGAGAAGACCTGAAGCTTAGTGCGGAGCGACAGACCAGGTAGCTTCCACACAGCGTTACGCAACCGATGAAAAGATAGTGCCGCTCGACTGATTCGGAGTGAGACCTCTGCTGTTAAACTGGAGCCAGTCATAAGCACACTGCCCAGGTATGGGAAACTCTCCACTCTCTCCACAACTGCCCCATCACCGATTGGGAGTTGTGGGGGTGGAGTGTCCGATGGTACAAAATGCCCAGGCAGGTGCTTAGTCTTGGTTGGGCTGATGGTAAGGCTCCATCTCTTAGTGGCACGCTCCAGTCTCAGCAGCAGCGTCTCCAACTCCTCCTCTGAAAGAGCAGCTATTACCAAATCATCAGCATACATAACGTGGTTGAGCAATAGGGAGCCATCCCTTGACCGCACCCGGGCATCGATTAGCCTCCCATTATATCTGTACCATATGGAGATTCCCCCGGTACAGCTATTGAAGGCTTCACGAACTACGTGGTCAAAATAGATGTTAAATAATGTGGGAGCCAGAGGACATCCCTATCGCACCCCAAGGTTTACAGGGAATGGCTCTGACTTCCGGCCACGTAGTTTTACCCGGGCCCGCTCACCATCATGAAGGTCCTTAATGATCGTGAGCAGAGGGTCAGGTACTCCAAAAGAATGAAGAACAACCCAGAGCCCAGGCCTACTGATGGTATCATAGGCCTTGACCAGGTCAATAAAGCAGAGATGTAGGTCTTGTTGGAATTCCCTACACCTCTGCTGTAGCAGACGGACAGAAAATATGGCATCTGTGCAGGACCGCCCTTTCCTGAAACCGCATTGGGGCTCCGCAAGCCTCTCCTCAGCGTGCCTGGCAAGGCGATGCTGAATAATCCTTGCCAGGACCTTTCCCGGCACACTGAGGAGTGAGATGCCCCTATAGTTGTTACAGTCTGTGCGGTCCCCCTTCTTAAAAAGGGGGACCACAAGGGCATCATTCCAATCCTGCGGAACCCGTCCAGTGGTCCAGACCGTTGTTATGATGTCATATAGGGCAGTCTGTGCACAAACGCCACCCTCCCTCAGCATTTCGCTTGGGAGATCATCTCTGCCCGCTGCCTTTCCTGGTCTCAGACTCCGGATCGCCTTCAGTACTTCCTCAACAGATGGCACCTCAGCCAGCCACTCACAGGGGGTGACTTCTTCCAATATTTGAGGCACCGCAGCCTCAGCAGGGTCATCCTCACTTTGTGCCACGATGTTTTCCTGGCTGAGGGATTTTCCCTCCCCCAGGACCTCACAGAAATGCTCAGCAAATCTGCAAACCTGTTCCTGGGGGTCGGAGATTGGATCACCGTTTTTTCCCCTAATGATGGTAATAGGTGTGGCGCTGCAGGTTACTTTTTTGATGGAGTTAAATAGAGATTTGTGATCACGGGCCACTGAGGCAGACTCCATCTCCTCAGCAACCCGCGACCACCACCCATCCTTGCAGCGCCTCACGGCTCTCCGAACCTCCGAGCGAAGGCTGCGGTAAGCCTCCTCATTCTCTGACGTGGGATTCTGTAGCCGATGACAGTGGGCCTGTCGCTTTTTCTCAACCATCCTGAACACCTCCTCTGTCAGCCAGGGTCTCTGGGGAGGTCTGGACCGCGTACCCAAAGCAGCCATTGCAGCTGCATGAGTCACAGTCCTAAACCTCGCCCATTTACCCTCGACATCAGGAGGAGTCGGGGACGATGCCAATCCCAGCCGCAAGCGATGATGAAATTCTCGCTTGCAACTTTCATCAGATAACTGAGACCAGGCCACTTTAGGTTGGAATGGGGTCCTGGGTGTACACCCACCACCGGAGGGGAAGAATGGCAGGCGCATCTTACAGATGACTAGTCGATGGTCAGAGGGCAGATCAGCTCCACGGTAGGTCCTGGAGTCAAGGACATGGGCTCGCATCCGCTGGTCCGTCACTATGTAGTCCAGCAGATGTTCTTGCTTGGACCCGGCATGCATCCATGATGTTGTGTGGATGCGCCGATGCCGGAACAGCGTGTTGGTAACTACAAGCCCATGGGCTGCACAAAAATCTAGCAGCCTCCTACCGTTGTTATTGAGCTGATCTGGCCCATGCCCTCCAATCACTCCAGACCAGGTGCCAGTATCATGACCAACTCGGGCATTGAAGTCACCAAACATGATGACTCTATCCCGAGGGGCCACTTTAGCCAGCACCTGTGACAGGAGGTTATAGAAGGCATCTGACTCATCGGCTTTGCCTGCATCCCTCCACGGATGTTCGTCTTCGGTGGGGGCATAAGTAACCACGACCACCACTCCTCGCCTCCGGTTGATGGGAAGGCGAGCCCAAAGTAGCCTGGGGCTTACAGCTTCCCACACCTCATCGCCATGCTCCCACGCCCCCGTCATTATTTTGTTCAAAAGAAGAGCCACTCCCTGTTGTTTGGCAGTCTCCTGCCCCGAGTAGAGGACTGTCCACCCCTCATGGTGGCAGGAGCCAGAGCCGGTCCACCGGACCTCCTAAATGCCACATAGATCCAGGCGGTACCGGTCCAGCTCCCGACAGAGGAGTGGCAGCCTCTCCTCCGCAGTGAGCGTTTGACCATTCCACGTGGCCACCCATAATGGCTTTTCGTTTTTTCTGGAGGAGCCCCGAGGGTAAATATTCAATCTCCTGGCTCCGCCAATTGGGGTTTGGCCAGGAGACGTCATAGACGCCTGGCCCCCCGGGGCCTCCGGCACAAGCTTATTAGTTACATATTTCAGTTTAACACACAGAGTGACACACACAGTGACACACGTGACCTTGGCGATGAACACGGCTGTGTCCATCACGGTCTTGATGTGACGGAGCCACCCACTGCTCTCCAGCCCCGTGATGAAGTCACCCGAGCTGAGGTTCTTGGTCTGGCAGACTGAGCGCAGATCAACAACAAAAACAACCACAACAACAACAACACAGCTATTAGTGTGGTCCTACAGTGAGTGGGTGAGTGAGTGGTGAGTGGGTGAGTGGTGAGTGAGTGAGTGGTGAGCGGGTGAGTAAGTGGTGAGCGGGTGAGTGAGTGGGTGACTGAGTGAGTGAGTGGGTGAGTGAGTGGGTGAGTGGGTGAGTGAGTGAGTGAGTGGGTGACTGAGTGAGTGAGTGGGTGAGTGTGTGAGTGAGTGAGTAGGTGGGTGGGTGAGTGAGTGAGTGAGTGGGTGAGTGGGTGAGTGAGTGGTGAGCGGGTGAGTGAGTGAGTGAGTGAGTGGGTGAGTGAGTGAGTGGGCGAGCGGGTGAGTGGTGAGCGGGTGAGTGAGTGAGCGGGCGAGTGGTGAGTGGGTGAGTGAGTGGGCGAGTGAGTGGTGAGCGGGTGAGTGAGTGGTGAGCGGGTGAGTGGTGAGTGGGTGAGTGAGTGGTGAGCGGGTGAGTGAGTGGCGAGCGGGTGAGTGGGCGAACGGGTGAGCGAGTGAGTGAGTGGTGAGTGGGTGAATGAGTGGTGAGCGGGCGAGTGGTGAGTGAGTGGTAAGCGAGTGAGTGAGCGAGTAGTGAGTGAGCGAGTAGTGAGTGAGTGGTGAGTGAGTGAGCGAGCGAGTGAGTGAGTGAGCGAGTGAGTGGGTAGGTGAGCGAGTGAGTGAGTTAGCGAGTAGTGAGTGAGTGGTGAGTGAGCGAGTGAGTGAGTGAGCGAGTAGTGAGTGAGTGGTGAGTGAGTGAGTGAGCGAGCGAGTGAGTGGGTAGGTGAGCGAGCGAGTGAGTGAGTGAGTGAGTGGGTGAGTGAGTGAGTGAGTAGTGAGTGAGTGGTGAGTGAGTGAGTGAGCGAGTGGTAAGCGAATGAGTGAGCGAGTGGTGAGTGAGTGAGTGAGCGAGTGAGTGAGCGAGTGAGTGGGTAGGTGAGCGAGTGAGTGAGTGAGCGAGTAGTGAGTGAGTGGTGAGTGAGCGAGTGAGTGAGTGAGCGAGTGAGTGAGTAAGTGAGTGAGTGAGTGGTGAGTGAGTGAGTGAGTGGTGAGTGAGTGAGTGGTGAGTGAGCGAGCGAGTGGTGAGTGAGTGGTGAGTGAGCGAGCGAGTGAGCGAGTGAGTGAGTAAGTGAGTGAGTGAGTGAGCGAGTGAGTGAGTAAGTGAGTGAGTGAGTGAGCGAGCGAGTGAACGAGTGAGTGAGCTAGTGAGTGAGCGAGTGAGCTATTGAGTAAGTGAGTGAGTGAGTAAGTGAGTGAGTGAGTGGTGAGTGAGCGAGTGGGTGGGTGAGTGAGCGAGTGGGTGGGTGGGTGAGCGAGTAGTGAGTGAGTGGTGAGTGAGCGAGTTAGTGAGTGAGCGAGTGAGTGGTGAGTGAGCGAGTGGGTGGGTGGGTGAGCGAGTGATGAGGCTGGCCCTCATCACGTGGATGTTCTCGATGCGTGAGTGAGCGAGCAAGTGGTGAGTGATTGAGCGAGCGATTGGTGAGCGAGCGAGTGAGTGAGCGAGTGAGTGAGCGAGTGGTGTGCGAGCGAGTGGTGAGTGAGCGAGTGGTGAGCGAGTGAGCGAGCGAGCGAGTGGTGAGGCCAGCCCGCTCACCCTCCAGCAGCTTGGTGAGGCTGGCCCTCATCACGTGGATGTTCTCGATGCGAGAGTGAGCGAGCGAGTGAGTGAGCGAGTGGTGAGCGAGTGAGCGAGTGAGCGAGCGAGTGGTGAGCGAGTGAGCGAGCGAGCGAGTGAGTGAGCGAGCGAGTGGTGAGGCCAGCTCGCTCACCCTCCAGCAGCTTGGTGAGGCTGGCCCTCATCACGTGGATGTTCTCGATGCGAGAGTGAGCGAGTGAGTGAGTGAGCGAGTAGTGAGTGAGTGAGCGAGTAGTGAGTGAGTGAGCGAGCGAGTGAGTGAGCGAGTGGTGAGCGAGTGAGTGAGCGAGCGAGTAAGTGAGCGAGCGAGTGGTGAGTGAGCGGGTGAGTGAGTGAGTGAGTGAGCGAGCGAGTGGCGAGCAAGTGGTGAGTAAGTGAGTGAGTGAGCGAGCGAGTGGTGAGTGAGTGAGTGGTGAGCGAGTGAGTGAGCGAGCGAGTGGTGAGCGAGCGAGTGGTGAGGCCAGCCCGCTCACCCTCCAGCAGCTTGGTGAGGCTGGCCCTCATCACGTGGATGTTCTCGATGCGAGAGTGAGCGAGCGAGTGAGTGAGCGAGTAGTGAGTGGAGTGAGCGAGCGAGTGAGTGAGCGAGTAGTGAGTGAGTGGTGAGCGAGCGAGTGAGTGAGCGAGCGAGTGGTGAGGCCAGCCCGCTCACCCTCCAGCAGCTTGGTGAGGCTGGCCCTCATCACGTGGATGTTGTTGATGCGTGAGTGAGTGAGTGAGCGAGCGAGTGGCGAGCAAGTGGTGAGTAAGTGAGTGAGTGAGCGAGCGAGTGGTGAGCGAGCGAGTGAGTGAGCGAGTGGCGAGCGAGTGAGTGAGTGAGTGAGTGAGCGAGCGAGTGAGTGAGCGAGCGAGTGGTGAGGCCAGCCCGCTCACCCTCCAGCAGCTTAGTGAGGCTGGCCCTCATCACGTGGATGTTCTCGATGCGAGAAGTGAGCGAGCGAGTGAGTGAGCGAGTAGTGAGTGAGTGAGCGAGTGAGTGAGCGAGTGGTGAGCGAGTGAGTGAGCGAGTGAGTGAGCGAGTAGTGAGTGAGTGAGCGAGCGAGTGAGTGAGCGAGTAGTGAGCGAGTGAGTGAGCGAGGCGAGTGAGTGAGTGAGTGAGCGAGCGAGTGGTGAGGCCAGCCCGCTCACCCTCCAGCAGCTTGGTGAGGCTGGCCCTCATCACGTGGATGTTCTCGATGCGAGAGTGAGCGAGCGAGTGAGTGAGCGAGTGGTGAGCGAGTGAGCGAGTGAGCGAGCGAGTGGTGAGCGAGGTGAGCGAGCGAGCGAGTGAGGTGAGCGAGCGAGTGGTGAGGCCAGCTCGCTCACCCTCCAGCAGCTTGGTGAGGCTGGCCCTCATCACGTGGATGTTCTCGATGCGAGAGTGAGCGAGCGAGTGAGTGAGCGAGTAGTGAGTGAGTGAGCGAGTAGTGAGTGAGTGAGCGAGCGAGTGAGTGAGCGAGTGGTGAGCGAGTGAGTGAGCGAGCGAGTAAGTGAGCGAGCGAGTGGTGAGTGAGCGGGTGAGTGAGTGAGTGAGCGAGCGAGTGGCGAGCAAGTGGTGAGTAAGTGAGTGAGTGAGCGAGCGAGTGGTGAGTGAGTGAGTGGTGAGCGAGTGAGTGAGCGAGCGAGTGGTGAGCGAGCGAGTGGTGAGGCCAGCCCGCTCACCCTCCAGCAGCTTGGTGAGGCTGGCCCACATCACGTGGATGTTCTCGATGCGAGAGTGAGCGAGCGAGTGAGTGAGCGAGTAGTGAGTGAGTGAGCGAGCGAGTGAGTGAGCGAGTAGTGAGTGAGTGGTGAGCGAGCGAGTGAGTGAGCGAGCGAGTGGTGAGGCCAGCCCGCTCACCCTCCAGCAGCTTGGTGAGGCTGGCCCTCATCACGTGGATGTTGTTGATGCGTGAGTGAGTGAGTGAGCGAGCGAGTGGCGAGCAAGTGGTGAGTAAGTGAGTGAGTGAGCGAGCGAGTGGTGAGCGAGCGAGTGAGTGAGCGAGTGGCGAGCGAGTGAGTGAGTGAGTGAGTGAGCGAGCGAGTGAGTGAGCGAGCGAGTGGTGAGGCCAGCCCGCTCACCCTCCAGCAGCTTAGTGAGGCTGGCCCTCATCACGTGGATGTTCTCGATGCGAGAGTGAGCGAGCGAGTGAGTGAGCGAGTAGTGAGTGAGTGAGCGAGTGAGTGAGCGAGTGGTGAGCGAGTGAGTGAGCGAGTGAGTGAGCGAGTAGTGAGTGAGTGAGCGAGCGAGTGAGTGAGCGAGTAGTGAGCGAGTGAGTGAGCGAGCGAGTGAGTGAGTGAGTGAGCGAGCGAGTGGTGAGGCCAGCCCGCTCACCCTCCAGCAGCTTGGTGAGGCTGGCCCTCATCACGTGGATGTTCTCGATGCGAGAGTGAGCGAGCGAGTGAGTGAGCGAGTAGTGAGTGAGTGAGCGAGTGAGTGAGCGAGTGGTGAGCGAGTGAGTGAGCGAGTGAGTGAGCGAGTAGTGAGTGAGTGAGCGAGCGAGTGAGTGAGCGAGTAGTGAGCGAGTGAGTGAGCGAGCGAGTGAGTGAGTGAGTGAGCGAGCGAGTGGTGAGGCCAGCCCGCTCACCCTCCAGCAGCTTGGTGAGGCTGGCCCTCATCACGTGGATGTTCTCGATGCGAGAGTGAGCGAGCGAGTGAGTGAGCGAGTAGTGAGTGAGCGAGTAGTGAGTGAGTGAGCGAGTGGTGAGTGAGTGGTGAGTGAGCGAGCGAGTGAGCGAGTGAGTGAGTAAGTGAGTGAGTGAGTGAGCGAGTGAGTGAGTAAGTGAGTGAGTGAGTGAGCGAGTAGTGAGTGAGTGGTGAGTGAGCGAGTGAGTGAGTGAGCGAGTGAGTAAGTGAGTGAGTGAGTGGTGAGTGAGCGAGTGGGTGGGTGAGTGAGCGAGTGGGTGGGTGGGTGAGCGAGTAGTGAGTGAGTGGTGAGTGAGCGAGTGAGTGAGTGAGCGAGTGAGTGGTGAGTGAGCGAGTGGGTGGGTGGGTGAGCGAGTGATGAGGCTGGCCCTCATCACGTGGATGTTCTCGATGCGTGAGTGAGCGAGCAAGTGGTCAGTGATTGAGCGAGCGATTGGTGAGCGAGCGAGTGAGTGAGCGAGTGAGTGAGCGAGTGGTGTGCGAGCGAGTGGTGAGTGAGCGAGTGGTGAGCGAGTGAGCGAGCGAGCGAGTGGTGAGGCCAGCCCGCTCACCCTCCAGCAGCTTGGTGAGGCTGGCCCTCATCACGTGGATGTTCTCGATGCGAGAGTGAGCGAGCGAGTGAGTGAGCGAGTGGTGAGCGAGTGAGCGAGTGAGCGAGCGAGTGGTGAGCGAGTGAGCGAGCGAGCGAGTGAGTGAGCGAGCGAGTGGTGAGGCCAGCTCGCTCACCCTCCAGCAGCTTGGTGAGGCTGGCCCTCATCACGTGGATGTTCTCGATGCGAGAGTGAGCGAGCGAGTGAGTGAGCGAGTAGTGAGTGAGTGAGCGAGTAGTGAGTGAGTGAGCGAGCGAGTGAGTGAGCGAGTGGTGAGCGAGTGAGTGAGCGAGCGAGTAAGTGAGCGAGCGAGTGGTGAGTGAGCGGGTGAGTGAGTGAGTGAGCGAGCGAGTGGCGAGCAAGTGGTGAGTAAGTGAGTGAGTGAGCGAGCGAGTGGTGAGTGAGTGAGTGGTGAGCGAGTGAGTGAGCGAGCGAGTGGTGAGCGAGCGAGTGGTGAGGCCAGCCCGCTCACCCTCCAGCAGCTTGGTGAGGCTGGCCCTCATCACGTGGATGTTCTCGATGCGAGAGTGAGCGAGCGAGTGAGTGAGCGAGTAGTGAGTGAGTGAGCGAGCGAGTGAGTGAGCGAGTAGTGAGTGAGTGGTGAGCGAGCGAGTGAGTGAGCGAGCGAGTGGTGAGGCCAGCCCGCTCACCCTCCAGCAGCTTGGTGAGGCTGGCCCTCATCACGTGGATGTTCTCGATGCGAGAGTGAGCGAGCGAGTGAGTGAGCGAGTAGTGAGTGAGTGAGCGAGCGAGTGAGTGAGCGAGTAGTGAGTGAGTGGTGAGCGAGCGAGTGAGTGAGCGAGCGAGTGGTGAGGCCAGCCCGCTCACCCTCCAGCAGCTTGGTGAGGCTGGCCCTCATCACGTGGATGTTGTTGATGCGTGAGTGAGTGAGTGAGCGAGCGAGTGGCGAGCAAGTGGTGAGTAAGTGAGTGAGTGAGCGAGCGAGTGGTGAGCGAGCGAGTGAGTGAGCGAGTGGCGAGCGAGTGAGTGAGTGAGTGAGTGAGCGAGCGAGTGAGTGAGCGACCGAGTGGTGAGGCCAGCCCGCTCACCCTCCAGCAGCTTAGTGAGGCTGGCCCTCATCACGTGGATGTTCTCGATGCGAGAGTGAGCGAGCGAGTGAGTGAGCGAGTAGTGAGTGAGTGAGCGAGTGAGTGAGCGAGCGAGTGAGTGAGTGAGTGAGCGAGCGAGTGGTGAGGCCAGCCCGCTCACCCTCCAGCAGCTTGGTGAGGCTAGCCCTCATCACGTGGATGTTCTCGATGCGAGAGTGAGCGAGCGAGTGAGTGAGCGAGTGGTGAGCGAGTGAGCGAGTGAGCGAGCGAGTGGTGAGCGAGTGAGCGAGCGAGCGAGTGAGTGAGCGAGCGAGTGGTGAGGCCAGCTCGCTCACCCTCCAGCAGCTTGGTGAGGCTGGCCCTCATCACGTGGATGTTCTCGATGCGAGAGTGAGCGAGCGAGTGAGTGAGCGAGTAGTGAGTGAGTGAGCGAGTAGTGAGTGAGTGAGCGAGCGAGTGAGTGAGCGAGTGGTGAGCGAGTGAGTGAGCGAGCGAGTAAGTGAGCGAGCGAGTGGTGAGTGAGCGGGTGAGTGAGTGAGTGAGCGAGCGAGTGGCGAGCAAGTGGTGAGTAAGTGAGTGAGTGAGCGAGCGAGTGGTGAGTGAGTGAGTGGTGAGCGAGTGAGTGAGCGAGCGAGTGGTGAGCGAGCGAGTGGTGAGGCCAGCCCGCTCACCCTCCAGCAGCTTGGTGAGGCTGGCCCTCATCACGTGGATGTTCTCGATGCGAGAGTGAGCGAGCGAGTGAGTGAGCGAGTAGTGAGTGAGTGAGCGAGCGAGTGAGTGAGCGAGTAGTGAGTGAGTGGTGAGCGAGCGAGTGAGTGAGCGAGCGAGTGGTGAGGCCAGCCCGCTCACCCTCCAGCAGCTTGGTGAGGCTGGCCCTCATCACGTGGATGTTGTTGATGCGTGAGTGAGTGAGTGAGTGAGCGAGCGAGTGGCGAGCAAGTGGTGAGTAAGTGAGTGAGTGAGCGAGCGAGTGGTGAGCGAGCGAGTGAGTGAGCGAGTGGCGAGCGAGTGAGTGAGTGAGTGAGCGAGCGAGTGAGTGAGCGAGCGAGTGGAGAGGCCAGCCCGCTCACCCTCCAGCAGCTTAGTGAGGCTGGCCCTCATCACGTGGATGTTCTCGATGCGAGAGTGAGCGAGCGAGTGAGTGAGCGAGTAGTGAGTGAGTGAGCGAGTGAGTGAGCGAGTGGTGAGCGAGTGAGTGAGCGAGTGAGTGAGCGAGTAGTGAGTGAGTGAGCGAGCGAGTGAGTGAGCGAGTAGTGAGCGAGTGAGTGAGCGAGCGAGTGAGTGAGTGAGTGAGCGAGCGAGTGGTGAGGCCAGCCCGCTCACCCTCCAGCAGCTTGGTGAGGCTGGCCCTCATCACGTGGATGTTCTCGATGCGAGAGTGAGCGAGCGAGTGAGTGAGCGAGTAGTGAGTGAGTGAGCGAGTGAGTGAGCGAGTGGTGAGCGAGTGAGTGAGCGAGTGAGTGAGCGAGTAGTGAGTGAGTGAGCGAGCGAGTGAGTGAGCGAGTAGTGAGCGAGTGAGTGAGCGAGCGAGTGAGTGAGTGAGTGAGCGAGCGAGTGGTGAGGCCAGCCCGCTCACCCTCCAGCAGCTTGGTGAGGCTGGCCCTCATCACGTGGATGTTCTCGATGCGAGAGTGAGCGAGCGAGTGAGTGAGCGAGTAGTGAGTGAGCGAGTAGTGAGTGAGTGAGCGAGCGAGTGAGTGAGCGAGTGGTGAGCGAGTGAGTGAGCGAGCGAGTAAGTGAGCGAGCGAGTGGTGAGTGAGCGAGTGAGTGGTGAGCGAGTGAGCGAGCGAGTGGTGAGTGAGCGGGTGAGTGAGTGAGTGAGCGAGCGAGTGGCGAGCAAGTGGTGAGTAAGTGAGTGAGTGAGCGAGCGAGTGGTGAGCGAGCGAGTGGTGAGGCCAGCCCGCTCACCCTCCAGCAGCTTGGTGAGGCTGGCCCTCATCACGTGGATGTTCTCGATGCGAGAGTGAGCGAGCGAGTGAGTGAGCGAGTAGTGAGTGAGTGAGCGAGTGAGTGAGCGAGTGAGTGAGCGAGTGGTGAGCGAGTGAGTGAGCGAGCGAGTGAGTGAGCGAGCGAGTGGTGAGGCCAGCCCGCTCACCCTCCAGCAGCTTGGTGAGGCTGGCCCTCATCACGTGGATGTTCTCGATGCGAGAGTGAGCGAGCGAGTGAGTGAGCGAGTAGTGAGCGAGTGAGTGAGCGAGCGAGTGAGTGAGTGAGCGAGCGAGCGAGTGAGCGAGTGGCGAGCGAGCGAGTGAGTGAGTGAGCGAGCGAGTGGTGAGCGAGCGAGTGGTGAGGCCAGCCCGCTCACCCTCCAGCAGCTTGGTGAGGCTGGCCCTCATCACGTGGATGTTCTCGATGCGAGAGTGAGCGAGCGAGTGAGTGAGTGAGTAGTGAGTGAGTGGTGAGCGAGCGAGTGAGTGAGCGAGTGGTGAGCGAGTGAGTGAGCGAGCGAGTGAGTGAGCGAGCGAGTGGTGAGGCCAGCCCGCTCACCCTCCAGCAGCTTGGTGAGGCTGACCCTCATCACGTGGATGTTGTTGATGCGTGAGTGAGTGAGTGAGCGAGCGAGTGGCGAGCAAGTGGTGAGTAAGTGAGTGAGTGAGCGAGCGAGTGGTGAGCGAGCGAGTGAGTGAGCGAGTGGCGAGCGAGTGGTGAGCGAGTGAGCGAGCGAGCAAGTGAGTGAGCGAGCGAGTGGTGAGGCCAGCCCGCTCACCCTCCAGCAGCTTGGTGAGGCTGGCCCTCATCACGTGGATGTTCTCGATGCGAGAGTGAGCGAGCGAGTGAGTGAGCGAGTAGTGAGTGAGCGAGTGAGCGAGCGAGTGAGTGAGCGAGCGAGTGAGTGAGCGAGTGGCGAGTGAGTGAGTGAGCGAGCGAGTGAGTGAGCGAGTGGTGAGCGAGTGAGTGAGCGAGCGAGTGAGTGAGCGAGCGAGTGGTGAGGCCAGCCCGCTCACCCTCCAGCAGCTTGGTGAGGCTGGCCCTCATCACGTGGATGTTCTCTATGCCCATGAAGTGGAACTTGATGTCCGTGTAGTGGTCCTCGTTCTCGTAGCCCTTGCCAACTGCACGGTTCGCCATCGCGTTGATCTGGTGGGGTGGGTGGAGGGTGGTGGGTGGGCGTCACCCGGGGTCGCAGGGGTAAACGGGGTCGCCGGGGGTCACAGGGGTCGCCGGGGGGTCACAGGGGTCGTGGGGGTGACGGGGTCGTGAGGGTCATTCTGGGTCACTGGGGGAGGTAAATTGGGTCACCGGGGTCACAGAGGTCGACAGGGTCACAGAGGTCGACAGGGTCACAGAGGTCGACAGGGTCACAGAGGTCGACAGGGTCAGAGGTCGACAGGGTGTCTCTCAGGGTTCACAATGGCAGTGTCAGAGTCGGTGGTGAGTGTGTGGTGAGTGTGTGGTGAGTGTCTGTGTGGTGAGTGTGTGGTGAGTGTGTGGTGTCTGTGTGGTGAGTGTGTGGTGTTGTGTGTGATGAGTGTCTGTGTGGTGAGTGTGTGGTGAGTGTCTGTGTGGTGAGTGTGGTGTGTGTGATGAGTGGTGAGTGTGTGGTGAGTGTGTGGTGTGTGGTGAGTATCTGCATGGTGAGCGTGTGGTGAGTGTCTGTGCGGTGAGTATCTGTGAGGTGAGTGAGTGTATGAGTGAGTGTATGAGTGAGTGAGTGTATGAGTGAGTGTATGAGTGAGTGTATGAGTGAGCGAGTGAGTGTATGAGTGAGCGAGTGAATGAGTGAATGAGTGTAAGAGTGAGTGAGTGTATGAGTGAGTGAGTGTATGAGTGAGTGTATGAGTGAGCGAGTGAATGAGTGTAAGAGTGAGTGAGTGAGTGTATGAGTGAGTGAGTGTATGAGTGAGTGAGTGTATGAGTGAGTGTATGAGTGAGCGAGTGAATGAGTGTAAGAGTGAGTGAGTGTATGAGTGAGTGTATGAGTGAGTGAGTGCATGAGTGTATGAGTGAGTGAGTGTATGAGTGAGTGAGTGTATGAGTGAGTGAGTGTGTAGTGTTTATAAAAACGAATAAACTTCTTAGGAGGCACAATGTTCATTGTAATTCTTTCCTCATACAAGTCCTTAACACACAGAGGGGTATCCAGTCCCCTCACCCGATACCCTAAGGAGGTACAGCCTCCGGACTTAGCATAACCTACACACAGGTCTCTTGATACCTAAGGAGGTACAGCCTCCTATCTCGGCGGGCCTTACACGTCCACTGCTACCCTACCCTAAGGAGGTACAGCCTCCTATCTTGATGAGACTTACACGTCCACCGCTATCCCAGCCTAAGGAGGTACAGACTCCTATCTTGGTGGTACTTACACATCCACCGCTACCCTAGCCTAAGGAGGTACCGTCTCCTATCTTGGTGGGACTTACACGTCCACCGCTACCCCAGCCTAAGGAGGTACAGACTCCTATCTTGGCGAGACTTACACGTCCACTGCTATCCCAGCCTAAGGAGGTACAGCCTCCTATCTTGGTGGGACTCACACGTCCACCGCTACCCTACCCTAAGGAGGTACAGCCTCCTATCTTGGTGAGACTTACACGTCCACCGCTATCCCAGCCTAAGGAGGTACAGACTCCTATCGTGGTGGGACTTACACGTCCACCGATACCCTAGCCTAAGGAGGCACAGCCTCCTATCTTGGTGGGACTTACACGTCCACCGATACCCTAGCCTAAGGAGGTACAGACTCCTATCTTGGTGGGACTTACACTTCTACCGCTACCCTAGCCTAAGGAGGTACAGACTCCTATCTTGGTGGGACTTACACGTCTACCACTATCCCAGCCTAAGGAGGTACAGACTCCTATCTTGGTGGGACTTACACGTCCACCACTATCCCAGCCTAAGGAGGTACAGCCTCCTATCTTGTGCGGACTTACACGTCCACCGCTACCCTAGCCTAAGGAGGTACAGCCTCCTATCTTGGTGGGACTTACACGCCTACCGCTATCCTAGCCTAAGGAGGTACAGGCTCCTATCTTGTGCGGACTTACACGTCCACCGCTATCCTAGCCTAAGGAGGTACAGGCTCCTATCTTGGTGGGACTCACACGTCCACCGCTATCCCAGCCTAAGGAGGTACAGACTCCTATCTTGGTGGGACTTACACTTCTACCGCTACCCTAGCCTAAGGAGGTACAGACTCCTATCTTGGTGGGACTTACACGTCCACCGCTACCCTAGCCTAAGGAGGTACAGCCTCCTATCTTGGTGGGACTTACACGCCTACCGCTATCCTAGCCTAAGGAGGTACAGGCTCCTATCTTGTGCGGACTTACACGTCCACCGCTATCCTAGCCTAAGGAGGTACAGGCTCCTATCTTGGTGGGACTCACACGTCCACCGCTATCCCAGCCTAAGGAGGTACAGACTCCTATCTTGGTGGGACTTACACGTCTACCGCTACCCTAGCCTAAGGAGGTACAGACTCCTATCTTGGTGGGACTTACACGTCCACCGCTACCCTACCATAAGGAGGTACAGCCTCCTATCTTGGTGGGACTTACACGTCCACCGCTACCCTAGCCTAAGGAGGTACAGACTCCTATCCTGGTGCGACATACACGTCCACCGCTACCCTAGCCTAAGGAGGTACAGACTCCTATCTTGGTGGGACTTACACGTCCACCGCTATCCCAGCCTAAGGAGGTACAGACTCCTATCTTGTAGGGGACTTACACGTCCACCGCTACCCTAGCCTAAGGAGGTACAGACTCCTATCTTGGTGGGACTCACACGTCCACCGCTATCCCAGCCTAAGGAGGTACCAGACTCCTATCTTGGTGGGACTCACACGTCCACCGCTATCCCAGCCTAAGGAGGTACAGTCTCCTATCTTGACGGGACTTACACGTCCACCGCTACCCTAGCCTAAGGAGGCACAGACTCCTGTCCTGGTGGGACTTACACGTCCACCGCTATCCTAGCCTAAGGAGGTACAGACTCCTATCTTGGTGGGACTTACACGTCCACCGCTACCCTACCCTAAGGAGGTACAGCCTCCTATCTTGGTGGGACTTACACGTCCACCGCTACCCTAGCCTAAGGAGGTACAGACTCCTATCCTGGTGCGACCTACACGTCCACCGCTACCCTAGCCTAAGGAGGTACAGACTCCTATCTTGGTGGGACTTACACGTCCACCGCTATCCCAGCCTAAGGAGGTACAGCCTCCTATCTTGGTGGGACTTACACGTCCACCGCTACCCTAGCCTAAGGAGGTACAGACTCCTATCCTGGTGCGACTTACACGTCCACCGCTACCCTAGCCTAAGGAGGTAGTCTCCTATCTTGGTGGGACTTACACGTCCACCGCTACCCTACCCTAAGGAGGTACAGACTCCTATCTTGGTGGGACTTACACATCCACCACTACCCTAGCCTAAGGAGGTACAGTCTCCTATCTTGGTGGGACTTACACATCTACCGCTACCCTAGCCTAAGGCGGTACCAGCCTCCTAGCTTGGCGGGACCTAGGGGAGTCGATCTGACCCACCGTTGGCCCGGTGGGTCTTGACCGCTGGACAGGCCGAGCCTTAGCCCTCAGAAGGGCTGGGAGGCCGGGTCCAGGGTCCTGGCTGTCTTCAGCCCAGGCTTCGGTCTTCGTGTAGCGAGAGAACTCCCCCTTCTTATACTCGTTTGTGGCCAGCTTTAACCAATCACACACTCACACGTGGCGCTGTCTGATTGGTTCTTACCAAACCGTGGCTACGGTCCACTTCACCTCGTCTGACCCCAGCCGTTATTCACAATGCAGGTTAGCGAACAGTGAGGAGTTAGCACCTCTACAACTGAATCAGTGAGGGAGTGCGTGAGTGAGTGTATGAGTGAGTGTGTGAGTGTGTGAGTGAATGTGTGAGTGAGTGTATGTTAGCACCTCTACAACTGATTCAGTGAGGGAGTGCGTGAGTGAGTGTGTGAGTGAGTGTGTGAGTGTGTGAGTGAGTGCGTGTGTGAGTGAGTGTATGAGTGAGTGTATGAGTGAGTGTATGAGTGAGTGTATGAGTGAGTGTGTGAATGAGTGAGTGTATGAGTGAGTGTGTGAATGAGTGAGTGTATGAGTGAGTGAGTGAGTGTATGAGTGAGTGTATGAGTGAGTGTATGAGTGAGTGAGTGTATGAGGGAGTGTATGAGTGAGTGAGTGTATGAGTGAGTGTATGAGTGAGTGTATGAGTGTGTGAGTCAGTGCGTGTGTGAGTGAGTGTATGTTAGCACCTCTACAACTGAATCAGTGAGGGAGTGCGTGAGTGAGTGAGTGTATGTGTGAGTGTGTGAGTGAGTGTATGAGTGAGTGAGTGTATGAGTGAGTGTGTGAGTGAGTGTATGAGTGAGTGAGTGTATGTGTGAGTGTGTGAGTGAGTGTATGAGTGAGTGAGTGTATGAGTGAGTGTATGAGTGAGTGTATGAGTGAGTGAGTGTATGAGTGAGTGAGTGTATGTGTGAGTGTATGAGTGAGTGAGTGAGTGTATGTTAGCACCTCTACAACTGAATCAGTGAGGGAGTGTATGAGTGAGTGTGTGAGTGTATGAGTGAGTGAGTGTATGAGTGAGTGTGTGAGTGTATGAGTGAGTGGGTGAGTGTGTGAGTGAGTGTGTGTATGCGTGAGTGTATGAGTGTGTGTATGAGTGAGTGTACGAGTGAGTGTATGAGTGAGTGAGTGAGTGTATGTTAGCACCTCTACAACTGAATCAGTGAGGGAGTGCGTGAGTGAGTGTGTGAGTGAGTGTGTGAGTGTGTGAGTGTATGAGTGTGTGAGTGAGTGTATGAGTGAGTGTATGAGTGAGTGAGTGTATGAGTGAGTGTATGAGTGTGTGAATGAGTGAGTGTATGAGTGAGTGTGTGAATGAGTGAGTGTATGAGTGAGTGAGTGAGTGTATGAGTGAGTGTACGAGTGAGTGTATGAGTGAGTGTATGAGTGAGTGAGTGAGTGTATGAGTGAGTGAGTGTATGAGTGAGTGAGTGAGTGTGTGAGTGAGTGAGTGTATGAGTGAGTGTATGAGTGAGTGTATGAGTGAGTGTATGAGTGAGTGTATGAGTGAGTGTATGAGTGAGTGAGTGTGTGAGTGAGTGTATGAGTGAGT